GACGAGCGCCAGAAGCGGGTCCAGGAGTTGCAGCAGAGGAGGCGCGAGAAGGACCACAAGATTGAGCTCCAGTTCCAGGAGAAGGAGAAGGAGCGCCAGGAGATGGCCACTCAGAAGGTACGGCTCGTACTAGTGCTGGTTGTGGCCAATGGCCGGTCGTATCTGATCGGGTCGTGACTGTTATATACATCTGTTGTGTGTTTAGTGGTGTTGTACTAATGGTCTCTCTCTCTCTCTCAACGCCAGGCTCTGGACAGACAGTCGCGTCAGTCAGCGATGAACGCATTGTACGCCCAGAAGACCGAAGAGCTCCAAAAGAAGATCCAACAGAAGTACGACGAGAGCGCGCGTCGACACGAAGAGACTAACTGTGTTTAGTCCGTTTTTCGAGACCTCGACAGCCAGGCGTTCAGGAGCTGCCACCCGTTGCTACTGCGCGGGCATACGCTCGGGATGCTGTGGACGTTTGACACGGTTAACACAGTTCACTAGTTCCAATCGGAGGTCTTTCTCTTCGGCCACTTAAGAGGTTTGTGTTGTGTTTTGATTGACTGTCCATTTGTGGGATCTGTTGTCCAATTGTCTATCAATTTGTGTATTAATTATGTGTTTAACAACAGTTAACTAAACACAAAATTGGGATTAAAGTTACTATTATTACTAATCCTTTTGCTGTGTTGCGCCGGTAGCGACTCGTTTTACCGCCATTTCACGGCAGTTTACTTCTCAACCTCTTAAATAACATCAAATACATAGTGGAAGCGCCGGTAGACTCGGCCGACAACAAGTCGGCGATACAATCGTGCGATAACGAGCGGCTCCGGGCGGCCCGTAAGCGGAGCAAGAAGTTGAAGCAACGGCTGGCGACCAAAGCCGCACAATTCGAGGCCAATTCGGGCCCTAAAGTGGTCACCGGAAAGACAGTACAGACGCCACACAAGAGTAAAATCACCAAATTGTTTAAGGTTTGTATCGACGCTAAGATAGCGCTTCCAGTGTTTGTTGTGACCATTCATTGGTCGGTTTTGAATTGTTTTTGCAGGACTTGTCAGCGCTGAGCGCCGACACCCAAATCACGGGCCACTGGCCGACAAACATGACTCACAGTCTGGAACGCAATCTCAATGAGTTGGAGAAACTGTTCCGTAACAACAGTAGTGGCCGCCCGACCACAGGTGCCGCCGATTCCCTGTACTTTCATTCGCTAAATGGCGTCCAATTGTTGACCAAAATGTTGTCCCGAATAATGAACGGCACCCGAGAGAGGCTAGAATTTCAACATCAAATACATAGTGGAAGCGCCGGTAGACTCGGCCGACAAGAAGTCGGCGATACAGTCGTGCGATAACGAGCGGCTCCGGGCGGCCCGTAAGCGGAGCAAGAAGTTGAAGCAACGGCTGGCGACCAAAGCGGCACAATTCGAGGCCAATTCGGGCCCTAAAGTGGTCACCGGAAAGACAGTACAGACACCCAATAAGAATAAAATCACCAAATTGTTTAAGGTTTGTATGGATAGCGGTTCCAGTGCTTGTGTCCGGCCATTCATTGTATGGTTTTTTATTATTTTGCAGGACTTGTCAGCGCTGAGCGCCGACACCCAAATCACTGGCCACTGGCCGACAAACATGACTCACAGTCTGGAACGCAATCTCAATGAGTTGGAGAAACTGTTTCGTAACAACAGTGGTGGCCGCCCGACCACAGGTGCCGCCGATTCCCTGTACTTTCATTCGCTAAATGGCGTCCAATTGTTGACCAAAATGTTGTCCCGAATAATGAACGGCACCCGAGAGAGGCCCACATCACTCACCGACCGGTCCAACGCTAAGTTGGCCGCACTTTACGAACTGGTCTGCGGTCAGCACTTGGATGTGGCCGACTATGTCCTCCAATCTCAACACGTGATCGATTTGTTGGACATTCTGTGCCATCGGATCAATGTATGACCTGATTGTCTTATGTCTTAGTTCTGTTTTATATCATATGTGTAGTCGCGGAAAGTCTTATTCCCGATTACAGAACTAATCGACGATAACTCTTCTGTTTCGGGGGGTGTTCTGTGTCTACAACTCTTGGACTCATTGACTCAACTCTCGGTGATCCACATATGGCTACACCTTTGTTCCCAACTATCCCTTTATTGTCTCACAACTGATCCCAAAACGACCTGAGTTTCGACGACTACTTTCTATAACTCTTGGGGTGATTACTATTGACTACAATTGGGGTGAATGTCAGCCTCAGAGGTATGTCTGGAGCCTATTTGAGCGGTGATTTCCGGGACTTCCGGTCAACGCCCGAAACACACAAATTAAACGCGATTTTCAATTATTAATGACTTTTATTTAGGATTTATCGACGAATACAACGAAATTAAAATAAAAGTGTACGAAAAACAAAACGATTCGCCGATTAATCAAAGTTATAAACATTTAAAAGTTAGTTAAAAAGTGATTTCAATTAAAAGTTTAACTAAAACTAAAACAAATTTAAAATTCAATCAAAAACAGGACCTCTCGCTCTCGAGTCCCAAACCATACTCTATGAGATCTAAACCCTAACTGACTCTCAATCGGCGCTCAAAAACTCTCATTAAAAGCTAAATCTAGGCCTGGATTTCCAGACCCGGATATGAACAAAAAAAATGAAATTAAAAACTGAAATTGAAAGTAAGAATGCCTTTGAGTTTCGCCGCTAACAGTATTAACAATACAAAAGGGATTAACAGTATTGAGTGAAATGCGAAACAATGCATTGAGATTTAAGCCTAACATTGGTTTTTTGTGTTATACATTGAAAGTTGAATCGATGAGAAAAAATATTAAAACAATAAAATGAGAAAATTATATTACAATAATTTATGTCTAATAAAATATGATGTAATCGACGAAAACTTTGGATGAGTCCATCACTCGAGGGGTAGAATCGTTTCCTCGACTTCTTGATTGAGGGGCCGAATCGGTTTCTCGCTTTCATCTGCCACTCCTTCCACATCAATGCCCTCATTGATGGCCTGTTGTCCACTCGCAGCGGTGTTTGGTTCCTCTTCGGGACCTTCCGGTTCTTCCGGAGCCACAGTAATAACACGATAGGGTCCGCGTCTTCTCTTCGGTCGAGCGATTCTAATCTCTTCCGAAATAGTAGGCATTCTATCGGAAATATTCTGCTCGCTATTCGCTGTCAACTCTCGGTCTTGTTGTGACTGCAAATCGACCAGAACTTCCCCTTCGATAGCTTTCCCCTCCTGTTCGTCGCCGGGAAGTATTTCTCCTTCTATCGCTCCATTTATCGGATCGGTAATAATCGAGTCGTTTGTGGCCATCAGTTCTCGTTCTTCACGCAATTGATCCAAACGTTTCCTGTGTCCCGCGATCTCACTTGTCAATCGATTGATGAGCTTCTGTTTGCCCATAATGTCGGCGTCTTTCTCCTCCAATTGTCTTCTCAGACCTTCCATCTCTTCGACCGATTCATTGCGATCGCCATAACTTCTGAAACATTAGCTCCAAACAGGAGAAAATGATTGATGACCATCTTTGGGGTCCCGATGTGTGTGTTGAGCACCGACTCGTAGATTTGCGTCAACTCATGACTGCATCGTCTGAACTGATCCTCGAAACGCTTCTTGTCGGCCGTTAATGTACCGAAATTACCGTCCATTCGCTCTATGATTCCCTCCAAGCGCTGGATCTCCTCTTTAAGAAGTTTCTCCTCATTGATAGCGCCCATCAATTTCCACTGCAAGTCTCTGCAGAGTTGACAACCACTTCTGGTCGACGGCTTCGGTGGTGTTTGCGGACATTCAGCCATTTTCACGGATCAAATGATGACAATTAACACAACAAAAAGTCCAAACAATGTCTCAAAAAGTTTTTGACATTCGATCGCTAATTGACAGACGATAAGCAACACTAGCCGTACAACAATTACGTCAATATTAGAGTTCTCGTCGTTATTAACATATTATTCAATGACTGAAATTATGCTTCAGTTTTCAAACACTTTTATTAATGATTACTCTTTGGCAGCGAAATATTAAGTATAAAATAGTTATATAAAGGGGCGGTCAACTGATCTCCAGCATGCGGAAAACGCTATATCTCTTTAACTATAAGAGCTATCCTTATTCTGTAAAAAGCATTTAAGAGCCCCATATACGCAAGATCTATTGACTAACCTATCAAAATTTTTTGGTCACGTAGTATACAAAATATGGGACAATTCGGAATGGTTATATTATTGGCCAAACCATAAGAAATATAAAGATGGTCCCCATGGGTAATTTGTAAAGGAATAAATTCTGCACACAATAAAAATCTCTTCAAATGCCATTTTTAATGATATCTTATATTCAACATTTGGTACAGTAGGCAGAAATATTTGCAAAGCATAATTAGGTGGGTAATAATTATCTTCATTATAACGAATACTATAATAATGCTTTGTACATTCTACTTGATGACTACATTCAAGCTCGCAATAACCAGTAATATGTTGCGACTTCTTTAAACTTAAATGCACAGTTGATGCCAACGTATCATTTTTGTAATCGTCCGCGTATATCAATGAACTAGATGGAAATCCGGAATGTAATTTATACCATTTGCCAATGACACATTCGTTAATGCAACCTTCTCTGTCTTGATTCGCAAAGCATTTATTAATCATGGTGATTTTTTGAAAATGTACTTGAGTTCTACTAATATTTGTTATGTTAACAACAAGGACATTTTTATTATAAATATTTCTCACCCGATCTGTGGGGGAATGTAGTTGTACGATAAGTTTGTTTTTATATATTAACTTTTTATTATTAAATTTTAATGTCATAAATGCGTTGGATAAAGGACGAGTCTTACTGAGTTTATACTTGTTATCTTGTTCAGCCGACCATCGGGAAAATACGGTCCAACAGATCATATTGGGTTTAATTGATATGCGATAAGGAGTAACAGAGTCGCACCTATGCAGTGATTTATACGTTTTGTAATAATAACAATAAAAAACAGGATTTGAATGATTTAATGGTATGATTGCCTCCAATTGTTTGGCCAGCGATTGATTATTAAATAATCCATAATCAAAATCATCGGAGGTGTTTGTAGTGGTGTATAATTGGTATTTATTGGGATTTATTAAACCCCTAACATCTGAACAAACAGTTAGGGCCGGAGGTCGGTACTGATCTTCCGAATCGAGCCTTACGTTAGTTGTGGTTTCGTATGAGAAGTATATTAAACTGATTTCATACGTTTGGTATAAAAAACCAGGCAATAGTAATGCAACCAATACAGTGTAATATAATGGTATATTTAGGACCATTTTGTGTTGAAATGTAAATCTCTTTTGAACAATAGACTTAAAATGACGATTACTTGAGTTTTATTGTACCTACTATCTAATACTTTTTAACCACAATTCAGTATGAATAATGTGGTTTATAGGATCGTTCGGCTACCCCTCCCCCGCTCTATGGGATTTAACATGGGATTACAGCTTAAGTCTATGGCTATACTTTAACATGAGTAATGCTATTCCTATGGAGCTTTTCCCATAGACTTAACATGGGCTAATGTTATCCTATGGGTAATGTTAAACCTATGGGAGATTATTTCCTATGGGAAAGCAAAATATGAAGGGAAAGTGTAGTTTTTCTCAATGTTAATCCTATGGGACTAACGTTAAGTCTATGGGAAATTGCTTTAACATGGGTTTCTATGGAATTACAGCTTAAGTCAATGACATAGGGTTAACATAGGTAATGCTGAGTCTATGAACAATGTTAAATCTATGGGCAAATGCTAATCCTATGGACTAATGTTAAGTCTATGCATGGGATTACAGCATAAGTCTATGGCTATACTTAAACATAGGTAATGTTAAGTCTATGGCATAGGAATAACATATGTAATGCTAAGTCTATGGGAGTAATGCTATTTCAATGGGATAATGCTTTTTCTACGGAAATATACTAAATGAATCTGCCATAATAATTCGAACTAATTGTTGTCAAAAACATTTAAAATTCTCAAAATAATAATAGTTAAAGTATTTTAACAATAATATTGAAAAATTTAAAATCTTTGATGCATTTCCCGAATTGTGGTTAACGTATAGCTTAGCCCATGTTAAGTCTATGGGAAAAGCTCCATAGGAATAGCATTACTCATGTTAACGTATAGCATCGCTGTGTGATCCTTGTTTTTAAATATGACTCATTATTTTGGAATTAATGATAACAACATTTCTTGTACGTTCTTGTGTATCGCCCATTGTGTAAATATTACTGATTAAATTGATACGCCCATTAAATCAATATTAAACAAATTATTATTAAACATTTAAATTAGATTTCTTTATTTTGTCAACACTTTCATAATGTGTGCAACATATTTTTTCAATATGAAATATACTGTGAAAATTAGTACTAAACTGTGCAGAGTGTGGCAACAAAAGGGTACTCAGGCATCAAATCATGCCATTGGCCACAAACCGTGCCATTGGCCACAAACACCCGAGTTTTGGCCAAATGTGTGAAATAGTTTACAGGGCTTAAAGCATATATTTTTTACTAAACGACTTTACACATATGAATCACCATTTATGAATGCATAGAGGTGAATTTTATTGATTAGAAATGTAGCCATAACTCGGGTGTCTGTGGCCATTGGCACGATCTGATGGCTGAATATCATTGCCACACTCTGAACACACATACCAACCTGCACTAAATAAGAAAATTCAATTGACACATATCTCTTTTTAGTACTAGACTTCACAGTATATTTCATACAATAGAAAGAATATGTTGCACACATTATGAAAGTATTGAAAAAATAAATAAATTTAATTTAAATGTTTGTGTATTTAATAATAATAATAATTAGTGTAATATTGATTTAATGGGCGTATCAATTTAAGCAGTAATATTTATACAATGGGCGATACATATTAACGTACGAGAAGTGTTGTACTCATTAATTCCAAAGTAATAAATCATTAAAAAAGTAATCAATCGAGTGTCATTGACCCTTTTAAAATATTCATAGTAATGTGATCATGATAATCGGTGAAAAATATAAATAATTATAATACCAAAATTACTTAATAAACAACGTTAATTAACTATCAGTTTATAATAGTTGAGAAAAATCAAATTAACCGCGTTAAC